ACAAAATGCTGCAACTTTTATTACAAAATGCGTAAGGTATTACAAAATGCGTAGTTATTACAAAATGCCGCAGAACAACCTCCACTAGCGGCCACCTCTCTACAACGGCTACTTTTATTGGTCCCGGCGGACAGTCCGTACATTCACTATTATTTTAACCTCTTCACAACGGACACCTCTCTAGCTACAACAGCAACGGCCACTAAATCGCGTCCCAACTGCCAACGGCCAGAAACGGTGTATACAAAACCCTATTTTTTTATTTTAAAAGTCACCAGACTTGATCCAAACTGTGCGTCGTTGGTCTCTGTTTCTGTTTTATTGATATATTTTGATTATGTTATGTATTTAAATGCTAAAATAATCATTTTTTTGTGTGTAAATTTGCACCTCCGTAAAAAAACGAGTGTACTACACCCCTTCTTTCCTAGCTCAATTTTTCCCAATCGTAACCAGCCTTGTTCGATTGTAAATTGCATGCACCTTTTTATTATTTTTTGAGATTTATTCCCCTCAATTTACCTCAACTTTGTCCATAAAAACGATTATATTGTTAAAAAAGTCAACCAAGCGTGCGTGGTTAACTTGGGGATGTTAACGAATGCTTTGCCTGAATTGAATGGGGAGTACTATCAGAAAGGTCCTCTCGACTTATCCGAACATTTGTGAAGATGTCCGTACAGAAGGGGTATGCCCCGTTTTGAAAGTGAAGTGTAGCGATTGTATAAATATCCACATAATACGTCCAACGGAACACCATCGCACAGGGAAAAGAGGGCCTCCGACCTTTGACATCAATTCTATGGCTGGTCTAGGCGCAATCCAAGCAGGGATGGGGCATTCGCACTATCCAGGTCTCCTGTCATTAATGGGACTACCATCGCTTACTTCAGCAAACTACAAAACCCGGGAGAGGGAGAGTGGAGCGGCGATAGAGGCGGTTGCTAAAAAATCCTGTGATCGAAGCAGAAAAGCAGCTGTCAACCTCTGAGCAGAGTAATCGACAACAAATTGTGAAAGTAGGTGTATCGTGTGATATGGGTTGGAGAAAAAGAGGCCGCAGTCAGGATTCCTTCTCTGGTGCGGGTTGGTGTAAAAACTGGAAAGGTTCTTAGCATGTTCTTAGCTATGCCACGCGAAATACCATGTGCCGGGTTTGCGATGAGACGAGAAGAACAAACAGGAGCCTGGAGCCCACAACTGCCGCAAGAAACATCACGGTTCATCTAAGAGCATGGAAGCAAACGTTGCCGCGTTGAGTTGTTTTCCGATGCTATAACCAGTGGTGTCTCGTATTCAACATATGTTGGCGATGAGGACAGCACAACTGAGAGCCGTCTAAGAACTCTCGTCAACTACCCTATCGAAAAATGGAGCGACATCAACCACGTAAGTCGGGCAGTAGGGTCTCGACTTTATTCCGCTAAGGCAAAGGTCAAAGGGCTGACTCCAACTGTGATAGCCTATATACAAAGGTGTTTCTCATATTGCATCAACCAAAACGCGGTTAAACCAATGTCTTTGCGAGAAAGTTTATCAGCTATCGCGCCCCATGCATTTGGTGAGCACGAGACTTGCACGACGCAGTGACCTTCCTGGAGGCAAAGACTTTCAAGGTGAGGACCTACGCGCCTGCATTCAAGATGCATTACAACCCTTCCAGACGAAAGAGGCTGCTAAGAAGATGGCCTCAGTAGGGTCATTGCAACGAAATGAATGTCTGAATAGCGTGATTGGGTCCAAAGTACCTAAAATTCGGCATTATGGAGGGTCAGAAAGTAGTGACCACAGAACAGCAGCAGGTGTAGCCCAGTTCAACGAAGGCCACAATTATGACCAGGGCTGCTGTAAAAATTGGTGTAGCCTCAAGCGAAAGCACCAAAACGTACGTGAAGAAGATGGAAAGGAAAAGAAAACATGACGCCCAAAGAAAGTCAGGTAAAAAATTTAAAAGGGGGAAGAGATTTGCGTAAAAGAAAGAATCAAAAAACGCATTCAGATCGCATGCACATCACATGATGGCACCTCTAGCTTCTCAACCTTTCTTTTACCAGAGAAACAAGCTATTGCTGATTCATCGACGAAAGTGCATGGAAACAGTGTGCAGTACAGGAATGGCACGAACGTTTTAACGAAGAGAGGGGCACAATTATCATCAGTATCACAGAGGCAGGGACTAAATGAATTTCGTCGTTTTCTCGAATAACAGAAAGAAAAACGTCGTCTTGTTATCATTTCCCATAATGAAGACCGCTTTGACTTTCCTATCCTGTTAAATGCCCTGAGCGGGAGCAGTTTACTTGATAAATTCCTCAGCTTCCAAGTTATCCTCTTGGATTCTCTCAGGCTAATCTCCATGGCAATGAAGCAGCAATGCAGCCTTCTCAGATCCTTGAAGAGTGACCTTCTTGCCCGAAAAATTTACGCAATTCCCGAATGCGTAACTGTTGAAATCGGGATGCAAATGCATTCAAATTTGAATGAAAAACAAAAACGTTCACAATTCCCACATCTAATGAAACTGCTATACCTTGCGGCATGAAATTTTCGCGGGAGTTTAATTTCGCGGATTTTGGATTTTTCTAGTTTCGCAGGAATAAATTTTCGCGAAGTTGGATTTCAAACTTTACTACTTTACTTCGCGGATTTCATGTACGGTACTTGAAAGTGACAAAAACGGAAGTCATATGGTCGTTTTCGCTGCACTGTTTGCAACCAATTTCATTGAAATTCAGCAATGTAAATAAAAGGAGTAATTTTTTTGCNTGGGTCAAGAATGACTCGATGCTTTGTAGGCTTCAATAATGAAAGTGGACTACTTAGTTTCTCTTAAGATACAAACAGCTGTCATCATTGCATGTCTTAATGGAACCCTAACCATTCGATTGCTGTAATAAAAACTTGGTAAACACCAAAAGAGAACTTCATCCTACCGCTTCTGCATGGGCTTCTACTTGGGATGTCAAATCAAACATCAAGAAAACGAAAAACGCTGCCCTTACAAATGAGAGCTCTCTCCGAATCATGTCGTTCCTCCGCTATGAGCGATGTTTCGTGTTGATATGAAGAAATTCGGAAGCGTATTGAGTTTAAATTACTTCAAGAAAAGGATTTAATTAATTTTCTTTTATGAAACGTTACTTAGAAGAAAAAATGCATTGAATTGTTTGCTGGGGGACAAAAATGGATTAATTTCTCTCAGACATCGTGCATGAAGCTATTAACGTGAAGATTAGTTCTTTGTTTGTGAAGTTTTGTTCATGTGCGAAAAAAACACCGAAGATGCTCTCCCGTGGAAAACGTTCCTTTGAAAGAAAATTAATTAATTGCTTGTCGGAAGACAGAAATTGCAGTAACGTTAGCTAATTACTGAACATCAAACAGTCATAAAAGATAAATTGTTTGATAGTCTAAGTGCTTTTGAGTTGTGCGGTTTGTCCGCGTGGCTGATTTAATCAAATTGGTGTGGGTGTAACAGTTTTCTTTTTTCAATAATATTAACGTTTCCGGAGAATTTGTCAACGAAATGGCAACGAGATCTTCATAACATGTACAGTATACCTACAATATCGAACCGATTAAATTTTGTAACTCTTAGATACGTACACAACATCTGCGCGACTAACACGAGGGGACGAGTTCACGGCCTTGGGTAGCGTCATTTACTATAGTTATTTTGCTAGGAAAATATAAAAAAACTCATTTATTTATTAGTTGTAATGATGACCACAGAGATATTGGTTAAAAGTCCCCATTACTACTGACCACCAAGAGAGGACATGATAGAAAACATAACATTTAATCTATTTAATTAAATGAACGGAACCAAGCATTTCATTGAAGCTAAGAATAGGAGCCTCCTGGTTAACCATTTAATTTCATAACGGGACCAATGTATAATTTCTCCTTACAACATCAACGAAATTTTAAACAGACAGGTGATGAGAATAAAGAAAATCATCAGTAAGGGATATTGTCGTGATGTTCAACCAAGTTCTCACAACTGACATAGATCTCAGTGTATAGCAATCAGTAAGGAGACTTGACATTTCAACTCTGAACTGAACGGATTGAAACGTTCAAACAGCTGCTTTTACACTAGACCCTCCGCGTAGCTAGAGAAGATGAAATATCTTAGTCAGCGCTTGAAATAAAGGCTCGTTTCACAAAGAAATATATTCTTCCGAAAATCTTACTTCATACAAACAAACTTGGCACTTTCAGTTTCAAAGTTAATGGTTTTCCTGACCTCCTCTGTGATGTAGAAAAACTAGTTTTCTATTGAATATCCTTGTACAGACAGATGTGTGTGAGGCCAGAACTCAAACTCCATTCCCGAAGGCGGTACTTTGCGTTGTGGTCGAAGCAGTAAGAGGAAATTTAAATTGCTCTTCCTCAGTAAATACAGAAAGCAGGGGGCTCTCTCAGAAATGCCTTCAAACGTGTAAACCGTGATAAGTGAACGTGATGGAGATATGGAGATATTTGTCTCGCTGAGGTTGTTCCCCGGAAATTTAGTCTAAGAATAAACGAAATCGCTTTGGGGGTGGGCCCCCGGGGGGGGGGGGGCACTGCCATATATGGGCTATATAGGTATGTGCCGCTGTGAAGGGTATGGTTT